TTGTTTTTGAAAGAACAAACAAGCTTGACAAATCCTTGGCTAGGGAAAAAAACCATTTTTTCCCTATTCAAGGAAAAAAAGAAAAAAAAACAAATTAATCATGTCAGAGTTGAAAGGGGAGAAATTAAAACAGAAACCTCAGAAACACAAAATATCATAAGAGGGTTATTATCAGCAACTCTGTGCACTAAGCAAAAGAACCTAAACAAATGGATGAAGTTTGCAATTTATAGTTTCTCCCAAGATTGAGTCAAAAGGAAGTCGAAAACTGAACAGAAGCATCATCAGTAATGAAAGTGAAACCATTATTCAAAATCTGAGAGTAAAAGCCCTCATCCAGACAGGTTCACTCGTGAGTTCTACCAAAACTTTAAAGAAGAACAGTTAGTTTTCCATATTAACTAGAACTCCTTTAAAATATCAAATAAACAATAAGCCTCCTAAATGCTTCAAAGAAGCCAACATTACCCTAATACCAAAAGCAGACAGAAATACTAATAAAAAAGAAAATAACAGATCCAGTACCAGAGAACTTGAACAAAAGGGAAGGCACTTGCCTTGCTGGCAGCTGCAGTGGCTCCAATATGGTCTGAACCCTTAGCACCACACAGGGCCCCCGGGGCATTGCTAGGGGTAGCTCCTAAGCAGAGAGCCAAGAATAGCCCCCAGGCACAACCAGGAGTTCCCAAGAAAATAAAATAAAAATTGATATCAATATCCCCAATAAGTATCAACACAAAGATCCTCAACAAAATCTTAACAAACTGAATCCAACAACATATCAAAAGGATCATACACCATGATCAACTGGGTTTCATCCAGGAGTGCAAGTATGGTTCTATATAAGCAAATAACTTGATCATTCGATCATTTGACATCCTGTTACTCATCGATTTGCTTGAGCAGGTGCCATTCATGTCTCCATTTGTCCCTGTCACGGGCTAGCGTAGCCCAATTGTGTCTGCTCGCTCCGGGAACACGAAGAGCCTCAAACCTATCATTCAGGGTCTTGACAAAGAAGTCTGACCATCTCATAGGTGGGCGGACACATGATCTTTTGACATCCCATGGAATCCAGTCAGTAACGGCTCTAGTCCAGCAGTCATCTCCAAATTGCATTATGTGTCCAGCCCATGTGATTTTCGACGCCTTGGCAAACGAGACAGAGTGCCTGATTCTTGATCGTTGACGGAGATCAAACTCTGGATTCTTTCTCTCACCTGAGTGAAGCATGATACTCCAAGCATAGCTCTTTGGATTCCTCTTTGGGAGACCCAAATAGCATTCTCATCCTTTTTCCGTAAGTCCCAGGTCTCTGAGGCGTATGTTAGTGCAAGAAGAATGGTGGAATCAAAGAGATGTGCCCAGAGTCGGAGGTTCTTCATTCTCTTAGCTATTTCTTCGGTGCTCTTGAAGGTGTTCCAAACTGCTCTCTTCCTCCTGCACAATGACTAGGTGCCAGGTCATTCATCATGTTGATTTCTCGACCTAGGTACACATATTGCATTCAGAGATGTTTATTCCATTGAGAGTGAATGGAACATTAGGAACAAGTCCGTTTCTCATAAACATTATCTTCGTGGGATTCAGCTGCAGTCCAACCTTTTCACACTCAGTCGAAGTCGGCCAGCATTTGTGCTGCTTGGCTAATGTTTGGTACTATTAGAAAAATGTCATCAGCGAAGTGGAGGTGGTGTAGTTGCCAACCATCTATCTTCACTCGCATTTCTTCCCATTCCAGTCATTGCATGACGTTCTCGAGGGTGGCACTGAAGAGTTTCGGTGAAATTGTATTACCCTGCCAAATCTCTCTCTTGACGTCGATGATCACTTCCTTGTAGAATGGTGAGATCCTGGTAGTGAATCCATAATACAGCTCATGGAGGATCCTGATGTATTGAGTTTGAATGCCCTGTTTGGCGAGGGCTTCGATGACTGCTTCAGTCTCAACAGAAGACCTTCTTTAAATCAATGAATGTTAGAACAGCATCTTGAACTCCCAAGAAACATCAATGAGCTTGGTTACTGTGTGGATATGGTCAATCATGCTGAATCCTTTTAAGAACCCGGCTTGCTCGCATGGTTGTCCTTCATCTAGTGTTCTGCCAATCCTATAAGCCGAGAGAGAGAGAGATGGCCACAAAAAGATGCCTGTCTTCGAAAACTCTCGAGCTCATTCACCAGCGTGGCTTGGCTCGAGCCTCAGGCAACTGCAAGCAAACATCCAAGCTCGCAAAGCAGTGCAAAGAGATAAAGGAAGACCTCAAAGAGAGAAGAGCAGCAGTGCTGGCCAATGCAGCAGAACCTGGGAAAAGCATTTGCCTGTCATTTGCCAATTACAAGACCAAGATGACTGCTCTCCAATGTCCTGATGGATCTATCACATCTTCCAGAAGGACAATGGAGAAGATTATCCATGACGTCTACTCGGATCTCTTTGATAACCACATCCATCTGCCTACATACCAAATTCTGCAGGATGGATATGTTGTTCCCAACATTCTCCCTTCCAAAATCTGACATGCCATTTCATCGGTAAAGAAGCGAACAGCACCCGGTCCAGACAAGGTCAGACCCAAACACCTGAAGAACCTGCCATCAGTACTCATCAATACACTTTCTCGGCTCTTCACACACTACCTGTCTGAATGCAAGATTCCGTCCCAATGGAAAACCAGCAGGACTGTTCTACTGTACAAGAAGGGAGACATCCACGACTTGGGCAACTATTGCCCAATCTGCCTGCTGTCTGTCATCTACAAGCTGTTCGTTCGAGTCAGAAACAAAAGGAAAGATAAAGATCATCTGATCATACCAACTGATATAAAGAAAGATGTTGACAAGATTCAATATTCATTTATGGTATAAAAAGTCCTAAAAGTTTGGGGCCGTAGCGATAGCACAGTGGGTAGGGCATTTGCCTTGCAAGTGGCAGACCTGGGTTTGATTCCCAGCATCCCAAATGGTCCCCCAAGCACCACCAGGAGTAATTCCTGAGTGCAAAGCCAGGAGTAACCCCTGAGCATGCTAGGTGTGATCCAAAAAAGAAAAAAAGTCGTAAAATTTTAAAAATATGGATAGACATAAAGTACTTCAAGACAGTGATAGCCATCTACAACAAACCCATTGCTAATATATTCAACAGAAAAAAATGAAAAGCTTTGTCCCTGGGATCAGGCAAAAGGCAAAAATATCCTCTTTCTCCACTTTTATTCAATATAGTTTTTGAAGTCCTTGCCATAGCAATGAAGGCAAGAGAACAAAATCAAAGGAATCCAACTTGGGAATGAAGTTAAACTATCACTGTTTGCAGATGAAAAGATAATATACATACTAAACTCTAAAGACTCCACCCAAAAAAAACCTTAGAAATCTTAAAATAAACCAAAATAGCAAATTTGCAGACTACAAAATTAACATAAAAATATGTGGCAGTTCTGTATGAAATTAATGAATTAAAGAAATCTAAAAATAGAAACTCCATTTAAAATAGTGTCAGAAAACACCAAATACCAGGGATCAATTTAGCAAAGGATGTAAAGACATTATTTCTCAGAGAAAACTGCAAGTTACTATTGAAAGAAATAAAAGAGTAACAAGAAGTGGAAAACTACTCCATGTTCATGGACTGAACAAATAAACTTTGCCAAAATAACCATCCTAGTCAAAGCAGTCAATGAAATCCCATTAAAATTCCAATGACATTCATTAAGGTCTTAGAACAAACTCTACTAAAATTTTTATGGAATCATAAAACCTCTAAATAATCAGAGCAGTTCTAAGGGGGAAATGTCTATGGGAAGTATTGTATTTCCTGACTTCGAATCGCACTATAAAGTGAGGGCAACCAAAACTGCGTGGTATGCGAATAAAGGTAAGACTTTTAGGCAACCGGAACAGAATTGAGAGCCCTGAGATAACCCCCCATATTTTTGGACAGTTATTCTATAATAAGGGATTCAGGGTCATGAAGTGGAGCAAAAAAAGTATGTTCAACAGTGGTTCTGGGAAAACTGGATATCCACTTGTAAAAAAATAAAAATAATCTGGAACCATATCTCACTATTCATAAAAGTATTCAGCCTGGTTCAGCCCCTATGGAAAGCAGTCTAGAAATTTCTCCAGAGTAAGAACAGAGCTTCCATAAGACCAGGAGACACAGCTTCTTGGAAGCTACCCCCAAATACAAAACATTATTTCAAAATAATATATGTACATCTATGTTCATTACAGTTCTTTGTACAACAGCCAGGTTATGAACAGTCCAAATGTTGAAAAGTGGACGAATGGACCAAGAAGCTATGACATACATATGTACATACACAATGGAAAACTATGCAACAGCAAGAAAAGATGAAGGCAAGCAGTTCACAGCAATGTGGATGGAACTGGAAGGTATGTATTGAGCAAAATAAGAGGGATAAGGACAAATACCTGATGTTCTCAGGCATATCTGTGGAATAGAGAGACACAAAATAAGGCAACAGCCAATACTGAACAATGGCAAACCCTTGGACTAGAATGCAAAACCAACCTCCAAATAGTTGGGGAAGAGGAAGACCATACCAGCAATGACATAGGAGCAGTCATAGAAGCCAGTGGTGGGTTCTGGCGGGGGGGGGGGGGGGGCTGTATAATTCTGTATATCAATACTTTACATTTTGTTTATTTTTTTTGTTTTGATTTGATTTTTTAATGATTGAAACAATATTTAAAACTGCAGCTTCTGGAAGAAACATTTGTTCTTACCAGTCTTGTATCTCTCCTCAAACTTGACCTTAGCCTCTCTCTTTGCTTTTAAGAGCTGGATCTTGGGGCTGGAGTGATAGCACAGCGGGTAGGGCATTTGCCTTGCATGCGGACGACCCAGGTTAGATTCCCAGAATCCCATATGGTACCCTGAGCACCTCCAGGGATAATTCCTGAGTGCAGAGCCAGGAGTGACCCCTGTGCATCGCCGGGTGTGACCCTAAAAGCAAAATAATAATAATAATAATAAGAGCTGGGTCTCTGAAGACATCCTTATTGAGGATGGTTTTGTCCAAGGGGATGTCCATGGAGTACCCTGTGGGCATGAGGTGATTATAGTTATAAGCTTTCACAAAAGACTTGATCTTGGACCTTTTGGCGATTTTCTTCTTGCCCATGGCAGCTGTCACTTTGCGGGGGGTAGCGGTCAATCCCAGCACCAGGGCATGGCTGTAGGGGTGGTCTGAGGTGCCATCATCAATGTTCTTCATGATGAGCACTTTGTGTCCCGAGTAGCGGCCAGCCAGGACCAGCACCACCTTCTCAGGTTTCATGAACTTGCCCACTTCAACAGCAACCACTCGGGTCTACCAATACTGTACATTTTAACCAGTAGTGTAACTACCTAAACTGTAATAAACTTTTTAATAATCAAAAAAAGAAAATATTTAAGTTAATAAAAGGGGTGGAAGTCAGTTGTCGAAAAAAATCGCCCATCTCCTAGATTTTTTTTTTGCATTTTTTGGTCACACCAGGCAATGCACAGGAGTTATTCCTGGTTCATACACTCAGGAATCACTCCTGGTGGTGCTCGGGGGACCATATGGGATGCTGGGAATCAAACCTGAGTCGGCCATATGCAAGGCAAATGCCCTATCTGCTGTGCTATTGCTCCAGCCCCAAGATTTTTTTTTTAATTAAGGACTTACTTACTTTATTTTTTTTAATTTTTATTAGTGAAACACCAATATTTAGGAGATACAGTTGTAGACTGTATTGTATTGTATTGTATTGTATTGTATTGTATTGATAGATCTTCTCCGGTTTTGCATGTACTCAGCAAAGGTCATTAAAGACCCACTGTGAGTGCCCTCCAAATCAGTTGGGATCTGTGCCCTTTACTGCTTCACCTGGCTCAGATAAAACCCCTTTCAAGGAATTCCCATTTTTGTACTATGTAAGGTATAACCTTTGGAGTTTATGTCCTGAGCACAAGGACCACCTGTTTCCCAGTAACATTCTGACATGTTATTGGATTTGAGTTACTGGCACCTTCTTAAAAACTTTGGCTCCTTGGGGCTGGGGCTATAGCACAACGGGTGGGGTATTTGCTTTGTATGCAGCCAACCCAGGTTCAATTCCCAGCATCCCATAGGGTCCTCTGAGCACCGCCAGGAGTGATTCCTGAGTGTAGAGCCAGGAATAACACCTGTGCATTGCCAGGTGTGACCCAAAGAGCAAAAAAAAAAAAAAAAAAAAAAAAAAAAAAAAAAAAACCTTTGGTTCCTAAATTAATTCACAGAATCTATTTATCTATACTTTTATTTTCTGTGTTTTCTTTGTCTGATTCTGATATCTAGCTATGCTATTCAGTTCTGCGGAATGTGTTGGGATAGCTCCCTCTTGTTTTGAGTTGGTGATTTGATATCATTTTTCCTCATATTTGGTAGTATCCACTAGTGATGTTATAGGCCTCATGTTTTCTTTATGAGAAATCTAACTACCAATTCAATTCCTCTTTGTCATAGGCAAATCTGATTTTCTATTTCTTAGGATCAGTTTCAGTGGTTTGTGTCTTTCTCAGAATTTGTCTGTGTTATTATACACATGATCATCTTATCTTATTTGTTGGCATAGTTTTGTTCACTCCCTTGTGATCCAATTTGTTCTTAAAAGAACACTAGTGTTCTTATACCCTTATAATCTAACAATTTCTGTAAAATCAGTAGGAACATCCCCCTTTTCATTCCTGTTCCAGTCATTTGATTTTTTGTAAGTCTATCTAGCTAGAGGATTGTCCATGTTATTTTAAAAAAAAAAGTTTTGGTACCACTGAGTTGATTCTTCTACTATTCTACATCTGCATATAGACCATACTGGAGAAAATTCTATATGCACTTGAGGACATGTATTTAGTATTCGTGGAATAGCATGTTCAATAGGTATTACATCTAGTTGCTTTAGTATTGTTCAAGTCTTTTGTTTCCTTGTTGATCTCTGCCTCATTCTTTTCACTAAAAAGTGGGGTACTGGACCAGAGAGATAGCACAGCATAAGGCATTTATATATAGTACAGGAAGCAGGTCTACCCAGGATTGACCCCCAAGGCCCCATATGGTGCCCTGAGCATGGCCAGGAGGGATCCCTGAGCAGAGTAAGCTGTGAGAACCTCCAGGTGTGGCCTAGAGACAAACTAAAGAGGGGTACTGAGTCTTTTGAACAAAGGCAACTAGTGATCTTTTAAGAACAACACTTATTTCTGAATTGTCTGTTTCTCTCTTCATTTCTGTCACCCTTTGAGATTCTATGGCTAGGCATACAGAATTTTATAACCGTCATCTCTTTCTGACGAATTGACCCCTTTTAAAGTGTCCTTTTTCTCTAATACCAAGTTACATTACATCTTACGGCCTGTTACTGTAATAACAGTAGTGTCTTCAGCTGCTGTTTCTGTGGCGTATCTTTGGCATCCTTTGCTTTCAGTCTTTTTGTATCGCGGAATCTAAAGCATCTCTTTTTTTTAATTCTTTTTCATTTTAATATTTTTTATTTTTATTAGTGAGACACCATGAGGTACAGTTGTAGACTTACACATTTTTGTGCTTGGATTTCAATTGTACAATGATCCCTCATCCCTCCACCAGTGCCCATTTCCCACCACCACGGGTCCCAGTAACTCTCCCACCCCCATCCCCCATCCCACCCTGCCTCTGTGAGAGAACATTCCCTTTTGTTCTCTCTCTCCTTTTGGGTATTGTGGTTTGCAAAAGAGGCATTGAGTGGCAATCATGTTTGGTCTATAGTCTACTTTCAGCATAAAGCATCTCTTTCAATAGCACACCAGGTCGCTCTGCCCTCCTGACCCTTTGTTATGGTTGTCACCATCAACGCACACCAGGGTTCACACATTTGGTTGAGAGCCAGGGACCACAGTGACAGAACGGGGGCATGGGGAAGATGTGCCAGTGCAGAGATTCAACCAATAGTCTTGTACCCACAAGGTACAAGCTACACTACAAGCTACACTACACTACACTACAAGGTACAAGCTACACAAGGTACAAGCTCTACTACCAAGCTACACGTCCAGGCCCCAACACCACTTGCTTTTATTTTCTTTTTTATTTTTGGGTTTTAGCCCATATTAGCTGTGCTCAGGGCTTACTTCTGGCTCTGTGCTCAGGGATCACTCCTGGTGGTGCTCGGAGAACCATGTAGAGTGATGAGGATTAAACCAGGGTGAAGCAGGTGCAAGGGGGCCGGAGCAATAGTACATGGTAGGGCGTTTGTCTTATTCCCGGCATCCCATATGGTTCCCCAGAACTGCCAGGAGTGATTCCTGAGAGACCATATGTGGTCCAGGGATCAAATCCAGTTCGACCACATACAAGGCAAGTGCCCTACCCACTGTACTAGCACTCTGCGCCCCCCCCCAACAGTTGCTTTTAATGTAAGCACCAAACATGATATCATTTATCCTGTAAATCCTTTGACATCTATATGTAAAAGATGACAATTTTTATCCTTTTGGCTTTTGGGGGCTGGAGCGACAGCACAGCGATAGAGCGTTTGCCTTGCACGCTGCCGGCCCGGCCAACCCGGGTTCGATTCCTCAGCCCCTCTCAGAGAGCCAGCAAGCTACCGAAAGTATCTTACCCGCAGGGCAAAGTCTGACAAGCTCCCTGTGGCATATTCAATATGCCAAACACAGTAACAATTCTCACAATAGAGACGTTATTGAGCACGCTCGAGCAAATCAATGGACAACAGGAGGACAGAACAGTTGGTTTTTTTACCTCATCCAGTGGTACTCCGGAGATGACTCATAAATCAGAGTCACTCTAGCAGTGCTCAAAGGACTATGCAGTGCCAGGGTTCAAACCCAGGTATGCAACATGCAAAGCATGTGCTCCAGCCCACTGAACTTTCAAAAACATGCAAACACAGTATCAATATCTCAGGGAATATATAATTTTGTTGGTTTCTGGGGAGAGGGGTACACCCAGCAGTGCTCAGAGTTTACTCTTGGCTGTGCACTCAGAGATCACTCCTAGGGGTGCTCAGGGTGCCAAATGTGGTGCCTGGGATCTACCCAGGGCTAGCTGGATGCCAAGCAGATGCTTTAATCCTTGTGCTATCCCTCCAGCCCTCACATCGCTTCTTACATCATCAGGAACCTGTCAGTAAAGCACTTTTACTCTTGAAGCTTCCACTAAACAGGCTCTTAGTCAGGGGCCTCCTGCTTCATCACCTCTGTTCATGGGCTCCATTCCCGGCCTGAGAATTCAAAACAAATCTTCAACTCACACCCACACCCTGGCTTCACTCTAATTTTGTCTGCACACTCTCAAACATTGCATCCTCTCCTGGGTCAACACTCAGTTCATTAGGGGAGAAGGTACAGGGGTTAAGGCACTTGCCTTGCACACCGCTTACTCCACTCTTTTATGAAAGAGTGTCTTGGATGTCATCTGTATTTTGGGGGTGGGGCCATACCCAGATGTGCTCAGGAGGAGTGACCCTTGGCAGTGCTCGGGGACCATATGTGGTGGCGGGGATTTGGACTAGAGTAAAAAGAAAAAAAACAAGAGTGTTTCTATTTGTTTAAGATGGATCTGACCAGGGCCTGCGGGTGCCAAAGATCTGAGTTCTTAAGTATCTCCACTAGAGGCCAGAGAAATGTTTGTTTGTACAGGTGTAGGGCATTGGCCTGTGGCCAGCCCATGACCAATCTCAGCACTACATAGGGTCCATTGAGCACCACCAGGAGTAATCCCTGAGCATAGAGGCAGGAGTAAGCCCTGAGCACTGCCAAGTGTGGCCCTAACACAGAAAACAAAATAATAAAATAGGGGAGGCAGAGAAATAGAGTGGGAGGGCACTTGCCTTGCACGCAGCCAGCCCAGATTCAATCTCGACAACCCATATGGTCCCCTGAGCCCACCAGGAGTGATTCCTGAGCACAGAGCCGGGAGGAAACCCTGAGTACCTCCAGGTGTTGCCCCAAGACCAAAGAAATAAAATAAAACTAGTAGACAGTAAACAGTCTTCGTGAGGGGCTCTATTCTAAGCATTTGGACTGTGTTAACTTGCACGATTTTCCCAGCCTCACAGAGCCAGTATTTTTCTCCCCATTTCACAGATAAGGAAACAGCCACACGACAGTCTGTGTTAGTATTTCTGCATCTCCCCTTCTTCTCCTTCCCCTCCGCCTGCATCTCCACAGAAGCGAGCGCCCTGCCCCCACACCTTGCTGGGTGGAAGGAATGCAAATCCCTGAACAGGCGAGCTCTGTACTCAGAAGGGCCATTTACACTCGGTTCAATACAACTGATGAAGCAGA